TAAAAAGTCTTTCCTGGGGCCGGCGCAGTGGCTCACTTGGTTAATCCTCCACCTGTGGCGCCAGCATCCCATATGGGCACCGGGTTCTAGTCCCGGTTGCTCCTCTTCCAGTCCAGCTCTCTGCTGTGGACAGGAGGGCAGTGGAGGATGGCCCAAGTGCTTGGGCCCTGCACCCGCATGGGAGACCAGGAAGAAGCACCTGGCTCCTGGCTTCGGATTGGCACAGCGCTGGCCGTGGCGTCCATTTGGGGAGTGAACCAACAGAAGGAAGACCTTTCTCTCTGTCTCTCTCTCTCTCTCTCTCTCTCTCTCTGTCTATAACTCTACCTGTCAAAAAAAAATTAAAAAAAAAAGTCTTTCCTAACCCAGATGATTCTGATGGGAGTCATCCATGAGGTACAAATATTCAACTTAGAACTCAGATCTAAATGCACTATACTCTTTTCCTTCCCCCACCCCCTAGGAAAGCAAAAGCAAAAATAAGCTGGTTGTTTGCATCAGTTTCTATGGAAATAATCAGTTATCCTTTGAGTTTGTTCCTCTCTCCCGCTTCGTGGTCCCTTCTCTTGCTTCGCACACATTTCCACAAGCAGGTATACTCTGCTTCCTCTCCCCAGCAGATACCAGAATCTGAAACATGATCAGAGGAAGCTATTGCTGCCCGAATGCCGCTGTGAAAACACTGTGAGAGGAGAGGCCCGTAACCGTGACCATGGAGATGGTTTGCAATCAGCAAACCAAGGCCCTCGCTTTCCTTCCTCCTCTGGGCATCCAAGAAAGAGTTGGTTTAGAAACCCTGAGCCCACAGACTGTTTGCCACCAACAATGGCATAGCAACGGGATTCATACACTGCTCGTGTCCTGCTTATCAAAACCAAAGTCTCGATAGGTTGAGCTACCTTTTCCACTGAAACCGGAACACTGGTTCAACACATAAGCATTTCAAAACAAAACGACACACACACACAACAAGCTGTCCAATTAGCATGAAAGGAAGGGACTGTACAAAGGCTAAGCCGAAGCGAAAGCAAGAACCCTGGGAAGTGGGCAGGCACTAAAGCCACCTTTAGCTGTGAGTTTCCGTTTTGACAGCTGCAGTGGCTTGGGGTTTATGAAGTAAAGCCTGAAATGACATGAGCACAGTCTATTGGGAGACCCCACCCCAGAATGATGCGGTCTCCCCAGGGCTACGTCCTCACAGAAAGAGTAGACAAGAAACAAGCCTGTTGTGTTAAAGAGGACAAGGAATCTACTCGTTTTGAACTTGGTGTTGGGATAGGGGAAGTCTCTGAGGACTTGGAACCACCGGCCAGTCTTCATTGGTTTTCTTATCTGAATTCATACTTGGCGTTGGTGCCCAGAGATGATTGTGGAAGGCAAAGTAAATCCTCTTTGAGGAACAAAACCTCAACTGAGGACTCAGAGACTGCCCACAATCTTCCAAGGAAAATGTGCAGCTTACAACTGTAAAAGAACTCACACAATACACAAGCAACATGACACAACCGACTACAGTCGGAACATTCCATAGACAGCACAAGCAAATCACAGAGAGTTCAGATGCTGGGATTATGAAATGTAGAATACAAAATGTTCCTACAGCTCCTTCCTTTCCTGTTTCCAAATGGAAGCCATCACCAGTGCATTTCTGATTCTTCAGAGACTCTGCACATGCTTTTCCTCCTTGTCAACCTCTCTCTCCATCCAGGTACCCCCCCTTACGGCCATAAACACATCCAATTCTTTCCCATTAAGGAAGGACAGAGGCCGGCGCCACGGGTCACTAGGCTAATCCTCCGCCTTGCGGCGCTGCCACACCGGGTTCTAGTCCCAGTCGGGGCGCTGGATTCTGTCCCGGTTGCCCCTCTTCTAGGCCAGCTCTCTGCTATGGCCCGGGAGTGCAGTGGAGGATGGCCCAAGTGCTTGGGCCCTGCACCCCATGGGAGACCAGGAGAAGCACCTGGCTCCTGCCATCAGATCAGCGGAGCGCGCCGGCCACAGCGCGCTGGCCGCGGCAGCCATTGAAGGGTGAACCAACGGCAAAGGAAGACCTTTCTCTCTGTCTCTCTCTCTCACTGTCCACTCTGCCTGTCAAAAAAAAAATAAAATAAAATAAATAAGTAAAAAGGAAGGACAGAAAGAAAAGGAAAATGTTTTTCCGCTCATCTTGTTCCACCACTCTTTCTGTTAAGCCTCTGGAAATGGCAACTATTGTAACCTCCCCCTACCCATTCCATCCAAGCTGCAGTGCAGCGTGGCCCTCCCACCAAGACTGGGCTCTTACACGGCTTGTCAGTGTCCTAAGCTACCAATCAGATCATCAAATCCAAAGAACTATTATCACAGCTGTTACTGGTGAGGCACTTGTGCTGTAGCCACTCCCTCCTTCCAGAAACTCTTATGTCCCTGTGACAGCATTTTCTTCTGTTGTCCTCTTGTTTCTCTGGACTTTTTTTCTCAGTGTCCTTTGAGTGTTACATCTCCTCTGTCGTCGTCTTCTTTTTTCTTCTTCTTTTAAGAGCTGGGCGCCAGTTCTAGTCCAGGCTGCTCCACTTCTGATCCAGCTCTCTGCTATGGCCTGGGAAAGCAGCAGAAGATGGCCCAACTCCTTGGGCCCCTACACCTGTGTGGGAAACCTAGAAGGAGCTCCTGGCTCCTGGCTTCAGATCAGTACAGTACTGGCCATTGTGGCCATTTGGGGGGGAGGGGGCAGTGAACCAATGGATGAAAGACCTCTCTCTCTCACTCTCTCTCGCTCTCGCTCTCTTGCTCTCTCTCTCTGCCTCTGCCTCTCTGTAACTCTGCCTATTTACTTTAGTTATTTGGAAGGCAGAGTTACAGAGAAAGAGAGAGGGAAAGACAGAGATAGAGCTATCTCCCCTCCACTGCGTCACAATGGCCAGGGCTGGGCTAGGCCGATGGAACTCCATCCAGGTCTCCACATCAGTGGCAGGGGCCCGAGTACTTGGGCCATTTTCCAATGCTTTCCCAGTCACATTAGTAGGGAGCTGGATCAGATATGGAGGAGCCAAGCGTTGCAGGATGCATTTTAACCTGCTGTGCCACAACACCAGCCCTGTCTGATTCTTAAAATGTTGTTGTATTAATTTTTTGTTCTTAACACTTTTCACATTTTATTGCTTAAAAGAGTCCTCCATCCCTACGGCATGCAGACCCTGGCAACGCAAGAAGTCTCTCCAGAGGGTCTTCCGATGTGAGTAGGCGTGGCAGAATCCATTCCCAGCCCCTCCATGCCCACATGGAGTCCTGGCTAGAATCAGTCTGGATGAGAACCTGCTTGCAATCAAGGTGACCTCTTTCACAAGCTTCCTCTTGCCCATCCTCTGGTCAGGAACATTCCAGAGTGCCAGAATCTCTGGTCCATCAACTTGCTGCAGGTGCTGGAAAAGGAAATAATGATAACGTGGGTAATAAATAGTCTTCTGAGTTAAATGGGTTCCAACTTGACGCTTTCAGGAAAACTGAAGAAAGACCAAATGGAGATGTCAACTAAGTGATCATTAAAATAGTTTCTGATGATAGACAACTATATGAATTGGGGGATATAAGTCAAAAGAGGTTTAAAGAATTGACTGGCATTTCTATAACAATTTCCTCCATCCTCCTCTATCTGCTCAGGTTCTCAGCATTAGTATCAAACCAATAAAAAAGATTAAAGATTTTATGCTAAGCTCTGTGTTGTTTCAGCAATAAGTAATCTTCTTTCATGAATAAATGAACAAGTAGGAAAAAATAGCAACCCCAGAAATCTCATTCAGATGCATTTCCAGTCACCTTTTACCTTTATGTGTAATGATTGCTCATTTAAGACTATAATTGTATTTTAATCAGTTGTGTCCTAAAAATAATTTTAATAATAACTTAATCTAGAGGAAATTAATGAACACTTAGAGCTTTGTGGTCACAGGGCAAAATTCAATTCTTTTAATAAACATGTAGTCATTTTTGTTCAGACAGCAGCAAAACAACATTCAAGAAGAATCTTTCAAGTGTAAAAATGCATTATTTTTGGATTACAAGTGGATTTTAGGATTACATTTTGTGGAATGAAAATGTAATTCCAAGAAGAAAAAAGAAAATATAAAATTTCCACTCTGTTAAAAATGGGCTTGTTCACCTATTTTTCAAATGGATGACACTAGGTAGCATATCATACTATCATTTAATTTCTATTGCACTCATTAAAATGAGTGATGTGACATTTTTTCTGTTAATATGTCAATATTTAAGATAAATCAGAAATTCTCTGTGAGTGAGATCCCAGTGGAAAGAACAGGTCTTCAAAGAAGGAGGTACCTTTCTCTGAAGGGAGGAGAGAACCTCCACTTTGACTATGACCTTGTCTAAACAAGATAAGAGTCGGAAAACTCAAGGGGCTTCCATAGCCTTGGAAACTCATGACTGGAGCATGGGGAGATTACTGATGCCATAAACAGGAGTGTCAATTGGTAAAGTCAACAACAGGAGTCACGGTGCACTTACTCCTCATGTAGGATCTCTGTCCTTAATGTGCTGTACATTGAGGCTTAATGCTATAACGAGTACTCAAACAGTATATTTCACTTTGTGTTTCTATGGGGGTACAAACTGTTGAAATCTTTACTTAATGTATACTAAACTGATCTTCTGTAAAAAAAAAAAAAAGAAATTATCAATTCCCAACTTGACTCTCACTGGGATTAAACATGACAATAGGTCTGATCTGATTTCACCATCATTTAAAAAAAATCATCTATTATTTTTCACTTTATGTTTCTGTGTGGGAGCAAACTGTTGAAATCCTTACTTAATGTATACTAAGCTGATCTTCTGTATATTAAGATAATAGAGAATGAATCTAGATGTGAATGGAAGGGGAGAGGGAGTGGGAGAGGGGAGGGTTGTGGGTGGGAGGGATGGTATGGGGGGGAAGCCATTGGGATCCATAAGTCGTACTTTGGAAATTTATATTCATTAAATAAAAGTTAAAAAAAAAGATAAATCAGAATTGATATATTTTGAACATACTCAAGCTTATAATTAATAATTTTATATGGCAACTTCTTAAAAGGTAAATTTATACAAAATTTACACTTCCATCTATACGAAAATTCTAAAACAGGGAAAATTATAGGGAGAGAAAACAGGAACAATATTTTCTCTGGGAGGGGAGGAGGTACAGACTGACAGAGAAGAGTTACAAGAGAATTTTCTGACAATGATGTTCTTTTTTATTTTTATTTATTTATTTATTTGAAAGGCAGAGTTACAGAGAGGCAAAGTCAGAGAGAGAGAAAGAGGTCCTTCCTCCATCCGCTAGTTCATTCCCCAAATGGCCACAACAGCTGGAGCTGCACCAATCTGAAGCCAGGAGCCAGGAGCTTCTTCTGGGTCTCCCACATGGGTGCAGGGGCCCAAGGACTTGGGCCATCTTCCACTGCTTTCCCAGACCATAGCAGAGAGCTGGATCAGAAGTGGAGGAGCCGGAACTCAAACCGGTGCCCATATGGAACACCAGCGCTACTGATGGTGGCTATAGCACGGCTCCAGCCCCCATGATGCTCTGTACTATAACTGAATTAAGGATTAGGAAGGCAAAAGCATTTGTCAAAAATTATCAGATTATATACTTAAACTGCATACATGCATACAAGCATAAACAAACATGTGAACTCTAGTTAACATTATTTATGCTAAGCAGAGTTTAGGGTTAGACATACTGGTGTCTAAAACTTATTTGGAAATGCATTAAAAATGAACAGATGCATGGGTACGTAATGCAAGTAAAATTAAATGTTTACTGCAAAATCACTGCTTACTGCCCAGCTTTTTCAACCTTTTTATGTGTTTGAAAATACTCATGGGGCCGGGGCTGTGGTGTAGTGGGTAGAGCCACCACCTGCAGTGCTGGCATCCCATATGCATAATATACATAATAAATACATGCAAAAACCTAAACTACAACTGGCTTCAGCATTCATTGACTCTATATTGTCATCAATGGTCCAGGTTTTTTCAGCATCCTGCTTTGCTGATCTCAATGTTGGATTTGTCCTGAGGATGGTACAAAAATGGAAACAGCGACCTCATGTATAACATCCAGAACCAACAACTTAAAGAAGAGAGACCGTGGGGCCGGCGCTATGGCGCAGCAGGTTAACACCCTGGCCTGAAGCTCTGGCATCCCATATGGACACCGGTTCAAGACCCAGCTGCTCCACTTCTGATCTGGCTCTCTGCTGTGGCCTGGGAAAGCAGTAGAAGATGGCCCAAGTCCTTGGGCCCCTGCACCCACATGGGAGACCCAGAAGAAGCTTCTGGCTCCTGGCTTCGGATGGGCTCAGCTCCGGCTGTTGCAGCCATCTGGGGAGCAAATCAGCAGATGGAAGACCTCGTTCTCTCTCTCTCTCTCTCTCTCACTTTCTCTCTCTCTCTCCCTCTCCTTCTCTGTCTGTGTGACTCTGATTTTCAAGTAAAATAAATAAAATCTTTAAAAAATATATAAGAGACCATCTGGCCCTCCAGTAAATACCACTGCCGACTCGTTTGCCAGAATGCCTGTCATTTTGTTTCCCTGACTAATTATGAGGGAAATAGGATTATCTTAGCCTTATCCTGTCAAGGGCCAGGTTCCCCTAAGACATCTCACCTTGTGAAAGGGAGATTGGATGAAACTATACTCAAATGGAAAAATGTTATGTTAAGCAGGTAATCATCTGTCTCTAATGTGCATGCTGAAATTGTAGTACGAAAGAACTAATAGATGTATATGCATGTGGGAGGCTGGCGCTGCAGCGTAGCGTGTAAAGCTGCCACCTGCAGTGCCGGCATCCCATATGGGCACCAGTTCATGTCCCGGCTACCTCACTTCCAATCCAGCTCTCTGCTGTGGCCTAGGAGGGCAGTGGAGGATGGCCCAAGTCCTTGGGCCCCTGCACTTGCATGGGAGACCTGGAAGAAGCTCCTGGCAACTGGCTTCAGATCAGCGCAGCTCCGGCCGTTGCGCCCAATTGTGGGGTGAGCCGGTGGATGCATGACCTCTGTCTCTGCCTCTCCTTCTCTCTCTGTGTAACTTTTTCAAATAAATAAATAAATCTTGAAAAAAAGATGTATATGAATGTGTTTTAGTAAGGATTCTGTTCTCAGATAATGTAGAACATATAATCTCTAAAAAATATTTTGTTTTACAGACATAAAATTCAATGGTATATTTAAATTGTATAACTTTTATTTATTCAGTTGATTTATTGAATACCTACTATGTATCTGAGACTTCTCTTTAGTTCTTTTATCATAGAATAGAGGTGATAGAAACAGAACAACAGGTGTGTAATTGATACTAGTGATTTACCTCTTTCTGCATAATGACTTCCACTTTGATGTCTACAGCACTGTTTGAGGTTTATGCTTATTAGCAAAACCAGCACTTTCATTTTTTGCCTTCTATTGGCTTTTATAAATAAAATTCACTAAATATTCAAACAAATGTCCAAGACACTGATGCAGGCAAAGTTGGCAATACGGAGGCAGCTGAGCGGTTGGCTAGTAACAGTGCTAGACAGCCCTTGCACAGCACTTACTCTGCTAGCATTGCTCGAGGCACTTGACAAGTCCTAAGGCCCTGATCTTTACAACCACTTGGGGAGGCAGGAACCACTACATCCATGCTGCAGATAAGACAGTGAGGTCCACGGGCGGTTTTGCAGTTGGTCAGTGCACTGCGAGCTGTGACTGGGCCCTAGCTCCTTCCAGACTCAACCTCATCTCTCCACCCTCCCCCTCACAGGAGCTCCTGCTGCACTCGGGCTAAGCAGGGTTCTCACAGCTCCCCAGGAAGCCTTGCTTCTGCCAGTCCCATGCCTTTGCACACACTGCCGGCCTGCACTGTTTTTCTCCACTCAGACTCATTCTTCCAGGCAGATAGGCCCACCCTCCTTAGAAAAGCCTTCTGCTATGGACTGGACACGATTTGAGCATGTCCCCCAAGGGTTCTCATGTTGGGACCTCGATCCCCAGTGTGACAAGGTTCACAGGTGATGTGGAACTTGCAAGAGGTCTAATGGTTAAGACTCCTCCTCCAATACCCACATCCCACATTGGAGTGGCTGGTGAGAACCGGCTGCATTCTTGCTTCGGGTTTCCTACTAGGAGGCAGCCAGTGACTGCTCAAGTAGCCAGGTCTCTGCCACCCACCTGGGAGACCTGGATCAGGTTCCTGGCCCCCAATATTATCCTGGCATAGCCCCAGCTGTTGCAGGCATTTGGGGAGCTCGCTCTCTCTCTCTCTCTCTCTCTCCCCTACCTCTCACCTCACTGTATTTCAAATAAAATGAAGGTAAATACAAGAAAATGTAAAATAAAGAGGTGGTGCCTAATGGAGGTCTCAGGAGGTCCTGCTCTCCAAGGGGATGAAGGGAGTTCTCCTGGGACCCCTAGTTAGTGAGTTGTTACAGAAGAGCCCCTCCCTGGTCTCCGGCTTCCTGCCTAGCTATGCAGTGGCTCCTTCTTGCAGGTCAAAGGCCAAATTGGACAGAGCCTCTGACGTTGGACTTCCAGCTTCCAGACCGGTGAGCTGAATAAAACCACTTTTCCTTACAAATCACCCAGCCTCTCGCGTGTTTTGTTGTAGCAACAGAACACAGACTGATACAGTTTCCCTGGCCAATGCACTGCGACACAGGTGGTGCCTGCCCAGCACCAACCCAAGCCCTCTCACCTTGCCCTATTTATGTACTCACAGATCTGGGTTCACCACCAGCACCAGGCCTGGCTGTCCCCTCCTTGCTGCACCCCTGGGGCTGGCTGCTACGCATGACCTGTAATAGACGTTTAAAGCTTAGCTGAATCAATGCAAAAGCTGGTGGATTCCACACTTTCCTGTCTCCTGTATACTGTCTGACACCACATATTGTAGATAGTACAAAGGAGTGGGAGCCTCCTTTTCCTGCCAGCAGCCCAGCTTAGTAAAAACAAAGCAAAGCAAAACACGCCCCCTTTCCTCCCTTCTCCACATCACAATTCAGATCACCGAATCTGAACGGCTTTCCAGCTCTCCCGTCGGCGAATCCAGCCCGGACGCGGGGAGTCCACCACCCCTGCACCGGCCGCCGGGGCGGGGGAGCCGCTGCGAGAAGCCGCCTTCTCGCAGTTCTTGCCTATTAAGGTAAGAGGATTCGGCTGGGCGCCGGAGCGGCCGGGGGAGGGTCCCCGGGAGCGGCCTGGCAGCCCGCGCGCCCGCACCGCACCGCGAACCCAGGCCCGGGGCCCGGGCTGGCTGCCCCTGCAGGCGCGCGGCCGGCTGCAGCGCGGCCTCGGGCTATCTTCTCTCTAGCACCGGAGTCGCCCTCCTGGGTTTCCATGGCCACCGAGGCTGCGTCCTCATCCCTCCACCTTCACCTCGGGCCTCCAGGGAGCCCCGGCCGCAGGCGACGCCCCTTCCCCGCGGAGTTCGCGTCCTCCCTGGAAGGCAGGGCGGGAGGTGGGGCGGCCCCGGGGTGCGTGGGAGGAGCACACGCGCCCCCTCTGGCCGCGCCCCCACCGCTCGCCGGCCTCCGCGCTTCGGGTCCCCCCCCCCCGGGCCCGCGCCCCGCCCCCCGCAGCCCCGCCCCGCCCCGCCCCCTCCCCGCCGGCGCCCGCCGCTCTTGGCGCTCGGAGCGCGGGCCTGGGGACTCGGGAGCCCGCCGCCGGGGCAGCAGCATGGGGCGCTTCCGCGGGGGCCTGCGGTGCATCAAGTACCTGCTGCTCGGCTTCAACCTGCTCTTCTGGGTGAGAGCCGAGCCGGGAGGGCCGGGCCGGGCAGGGGCCGGCCGGGCGGCGGGCGCGGGGCCGGGGTCCCCGGGGAGCTGACCGCTGCGGCGTCCCGAGCCGGGCTCCGGGCAAGGGAAGGGTGTTCAGACGGCGGAGGCGAGAAGAAGGCAGACAAAGGGAAGGCAGAGAAGGGAACGGGAGAAGGGCAGCGGCGGCGTGGCTCTTCCCCACGAGGGAGCCCTCTGCCCGGGGTAGCATCCCACAGCGGAGCCGCCAGGTGCTGCTACTCGCCTGCCCAGGCTCGGTCCGGGGCGGCCCCCAGATCCGCCGGCCTCCTGTGCTACCCCCGTTTCTCTCTGCCATCCTGCCCGTGCCCAGCCAGGCCGGGTGTTGGAAGCGACACCCCTGGCCTGGAGCCGCGGGGGGTGGTACCCCTTCCGTAGCGAGTGGACGCACCCCCTGGCTCCTGGTGGTTTTGTGGAGGAGACTGAGGGATAGGAGTGAAAACGGTGAGGGATGGGGGCAGGGTCGTCCTTCTTCTGAGCATTAGGGGAGGGTGCTGCCGGATGGGGGGTGGTGGTGGGTGCTCTTCCGTGACAGGGGTGGGGGATGGAGGGGTCTCCCAGAGACATCTGCCCCCAGGCCCCAGCCCACAGCCCGCAGCCACTGCTAAGCACTAACGCTCCCAGAGATGATCTCATTCAAGTTTGCAGCGTTTTATTGAACTGACTCCATTCCCAGAATTAGTGGTTCGCAGAGAGGGAGGGCTGTGACGCGTGGCTCCTGTATTCCTGGGGCATGGCCAAGGCTAGACCATCCCCAGGTGCCAGGACACCTGGTCCCGGGCTCTGGACGACTGTAAGACCAGGTCTGAAAACTGTGTTGTTGGCACCTTCCTTCGTGGGCTTCCCTAAGAGAGCGCCAGCCAGTGCTAGGGCTCAGATGGTCTCACAGAGGGCTCCTTTGGGTGAAGAGGTTCTTGGAGCCGGGAGGAAGCAGCAGGGCCCCGGGGGTGCTTTGAACCCACTGGGCTGGAGGTGAGGTCCTCCTATCTGCTCTGAGGAGGCTGTCTTCGCATGACTGCAGCCAATGAATTATTGAACAGTGGGTCCCGCTCCCATCTGCCAGCCTATTAGCCAGGAAGGCTCCGGACCTCCGGCAGCTCCAAGCTCTGCTGCGGCCGAGAGGCCTCCCAAGCAGCCGGCAGCAGGGGCGAGTAGACAGGAGGCGCACAACAGGCAGCCCCTGCGTTTTGAAGAGGCACGTGGCATTTGTACACCTGGTATTTATTTCCAGCGTACTACAGGGAGAGCCATGGCAGAGTCCCGTATGTTGCATTTTTTAGTAGCCTGCCTTAATTTCAAAAGCCGTGAATAATAGATGTCTTGCTGTAGTGACACCCTTCATTCTCTATGCTTACAAATCAAAAGAGGTTTTGAACAGCCTGAGAAGGAATTTGTAGGCTGGGTTCTGTGCTTATCCATCGCCTGATGCTGTGCCAGCATTCCCAGGCACAACTGGAAGCATTGACTGAACGTGTGCAGTGGGTCAGGGACAGAGCTAAGCGCACTCCTTTCACTATTACACGTATTATTACTTCTTAGTAGTAGTAAGTCATCACACGCTTACTACTGTTATCCCCACGTTTTGCAGATAGGGAAACAGAGGTTCGAACAGGTTCACTTGCCCAAGATCCCCCAGCTCAGGGCAGAGACAGGGCTCCCCTCAACCTACCAGCTCTCCAACACCATGGGGCGTTCCGTTAAGCAGGGGTTCTCAAAAGTGTGGCTCCCCAACCAGCAGCCTCAGCATCTCCCAGGAATTTGTCAGACAAGCACACTCTCAGCTCATGGGACCCTGCAAGTGTTTCAGCCAACCATGCAGGCGATTCTGACCCATGCTCCAGTTTGGGAACCACTCTTAGAAACAATTCACGGGAAAGACATGATTTATGAATGTGGGACACTGTCCACCCAGCTGCTACTCTAGCTGTGGAGACACGACTGATGCATATAGAACAATGACAAAAAGTAAGACAGCTTGTTGCCACGTGACAGATTTCACACTGTGGTCTGTGAACGCAGGCAAGAAGGAACGGAGGAATGTTTGAGTGGCTCCACTGTTAGCCAGTGAGGTTAGCCATGACCTTGTAAGTGCTCTAACTAAGGAGTTTACAGAAAGGGTCAGAGCACTGGCGGAACCCAGAGAATACTCCTACAAAAGGACATGTTAGGGTGAACATGCGGGACTGGTGGGATGGGGGTGGGCACAGGTGAGCCACCCGTGGAGGGGCAGAGCCAGGGGCCAGTGAGCTGCCGTCTGGCCTGGGAAGCAGCAGGCTGGAGAGCAGAGAGCCCAAGAAGGGTGTTCTTAGGCAAGTTATTCTTTCCTCTAGCTGGTACCGGAGTTGTTGAGAGGATTAACAGGAATCGTATGAAGTATCTGCCCTCACCTTCCTATGAACCTAGTGCACAAGAAGTGTTCAGTGTCATTATTTTCATTTTTCAGTGCCGGCATGTAGGAAGCGTTCCATAATGTTAGCTCTCTTTCCCCTGACCCCTTTCATGGCGAGGGGTCGTACACAGGTGCGCGAAGCGACTTGGAGCTCATCTTCACTGGACAGTAACTTCACATGCCCCTCCCCCTTTGACCTTCTGAATTCTCCCTGGGAACAGGAATTTCTGTTTTGTCCGCTGCTATATCCAGTGTCTGGAAGAGCCCCCAGCCCCAACCCTAGGAGGCATCAAATAACTATCTGTAAAATGAATCAGTGAATTTGTAGGTTGGAAAATTTGGCCTTCCTGATCCACACAATCAATTACCCACTCTTTCTGGAAGACTGGCCCCATCTCTGCCTGCTCATCATGCGTTTTCTTTGCTTAGGTAGGGTGAACCCTGTAGGGATGTATGGGGGCCTTCCATACTTGCTGGGGGAGGGGACAGCAGTAAAGCTGTACAGGAGCCACCCCAAGTCTGTAACTACACAACCAAAGCCCGCGGGATGCACTGAAGCAGGTTCCTGATGCTTTAGGGGAAAACAAGGGTGTGGTCTGAATTGTCGGGAACCTACCTCCGCGAGCCCCACCCTGGTTTCTGAAGTTGTCTTTCCCCTGGTAGAAGGGCTTTGCGGGGAGTCTGGGGAAGGGGCTCAGAGCCCAAGACAGCTGCCCTGCAAGGACAGGCCTCGGTAGGACTGGAAGTGCTGACTTGCCCAGGACCTCAGATGCACACGGGCCTGGGTCCCCCTGGGTGACACGCAGACACTCACCCGCAGGCAGGCGCAGAGGCCAGGGTGTGCTTTGTGATCTGCCATTTGACAAACTGATCACAGCCTCCTTCTGGCAGCTGGCTTTACGTCTCCCTAGGCTGTGCTCCTGGTTTTATAAACATTCAACTCCCTCCTTCCAGAGCTAGCACAGCCCTCCTGGCCCTGGCCCGGGGCTGCGGACTGCACTCACCATTGAGTTTTGCAAAGCAAAAGCCAAACCTAGCCACCAGCCCACTCAGTCATTCCTGCTGTCATGGTTGATGTCTGTCATGAAGCCCCTCCCAACATCTGTCACGTCTAAATGCGGGCGCAGCCATCAGTGGATGGCTGTGCCTTTCATTGAAATCACCTTAATGTTTTCTCTCTGTTGCATAGCAATATAAATAAAACACTGCAACCCCCCAAGCCACATACATTCATTTGAAGAAAAGCCTGGCGCTGTTTGTTCCTTGGTTTATTGTTGTGTGCTCAGCGCTTTCCTATCATTGTGCTGCCCTGAGCCGCTCCTGCTGCCGTCCAACAGGAAGCAGGCCTGGCTCGCTGCTGAAAGTCACACGCCATATATGGCTAGCTGACCTTGCTGTCCTTTCCCCTAGCCGTCCTTGAGGCCACCTTGGGTTTTCACTTGGTGAGGCCTGTCAGGTGCCTGCAGGAAAGACAGCGGCTCATGGGCTTCGAGATGAAGCTAAAGATCACTTCTCTCTCTTGCCCAGATTTACTGCAAACAGCAACTTCAGAGCCATCACTTATCAGAAAGACTGGTTTTAAAAATACCTCAAGGGACAGGCATTTGGCAAGGGGATGCCACTTGGGATGCCTGTGCCCCTTATTGGAGTGCCTGGGTTTGAGTCCTGGCTCTGCTTCTTGTTCCAGCTTCCTGCTAATGTGCACCTTGGAAGGCAGCAGGTGGTAGCTCAGCCCTTGGATCCCTGCCACACATCTGGGTGACCAGGAATGAGTTCCCAGTGCCTGGCTTCCGCCTGGCCCAACCTTGGATACTGTGGGCACTGGGGGCGTGTATCAGTGCAGAGGAAATTTCTCTCTCTTTCTCTCTCTCTCTCTCCCTCTCCCTCTCCACCACCTCCCTCCCTCCCTTTCTCATGCTCTCTCTCTCTCTCTCTGTACCTTTCAAATAAAATAAATTTTAAAAAGTGTTTTTAATACCTAATATATGTATTCTTTGGGTTCCACCCAAAAGCTAGACCACCCCTGATGGCAAGCAAGAATCTCTTTAGCCGCACTGTAGGACAGCAGCAGTACCCAGCCCTTCCTGGTGACAGAGGGAGGGAGCTAGTGTTGCTAAGAGTGAGGGGTCCAGAACAGGGGCCAGCATAGAGAGGCCCGCGCCAGAGTTCCAGTGGGCTGGGAGATCTCGGACAGGTTGAGACAGTGTGGCAGTTCAGGTCCAGGAATTCAGAGCTTGGGAGGTGGATACTGGCATCACACCACCTGAGTTTATTCCTGGCTCCACTGTTTGCTGCCTAGGGGACCTCGGGGAAGTTGTTTAATCTCTTTGAA